GTTTATTGTTATTGAAGGCTTGCATCTGAGATTGAAGAAATCTTTTGTAGCACCTGAAAGTCGTCTGGGCAAATGGTCCAGAGTCCAGTGGTAAACAAAAGGACTAGCAGAAAGCTAGGGAATCAAAAAGGAGATGGGAAAGCAAAACATGAGTTACCCTGAGGTTTTGAACCCTTAGGCAAAGACATCTAGATGAAAGGAGTTGTGAAGACCACTCAAGTGACAAGGGTCCAGGATCAGAAAGAGAGGAGTTGTTGGGTGGAGTGGAGTTGTCTGGACACTGTACGGCTCAGGGGATGTGGAACCAGGAGGGCAGGCAGTCTGGAAACTTTTACCACTGTTTCTGTTGGGAGGACAACCAGGTGGGGTCCTGTCCATGTAGGATCTAATCCTGTAGGTGATCCGAGTCATGGTACAACAAATGTCAGGTTTTGTCGGCCATGGTGATGGCAGCAGTGGTGGCGGGGCAGCTGAGAAACAAAAATAAGTGGGGGGAGCCTTTATTAACTCTGAACACACGGAAACGATCCAGGGCAGGGCGATGGGTAGATCCTCTCTTGATTCTTTCCTATTTTTATGCACTTGGTGCTATCTGAGCTAACATTTTATGATTAATTTGTTGCTAATAATTTTTGAAACCACTTATCTATGACTCCCTGAAAAAATTTCTTCTACTTTATTTTCTTTTCCTTCTTCTCTGGATACTCCAGTCACATACATTTACACGTATAGATGCACTTCTAGGACACTTCACACTTCTAGGACAATATGGGCATCAACTTTTAAAAAATCTGTCTGTTTGGCTTTTTTTTTTTTGCATTTTAATTGGGGAGCTTATATTGCTATACATTCAAACTCCATTATTCTTTTCTTGGCTGTGAGTAAGCTACTGATGAGAGTATCAGAAGCACTCTTCATTTGTGCTTCCTTTTATTTCCATCTCCTCCACTTGATGCTTTTTAGGAATTTCTGTTGCTTTGCCTCTTGCATGTGTTCTCGCATGCTGCCTAGTTTATCCATTAGCATCTTTAGCATGTTGGTCATAGACTTTTAGGGTCCAAGCATAGTTCCAAAATTCAGGAGTTGGTCTTGCTGTTTGATTTGTCTATACAGACTCTTTTCCTTGTCTTTTAGCATCCCTGTGATCTTTGTTGTTGCTCCTTTTAATTAAGTTCATTTGGTTCATTTTAGGTAGACATAAATATCACATTCACCACAGAGAGTATGTACCTGTACATGATATGTCTTGATCTTTCCTCCATTTCCCTTCCTCCTTTCAACCCCTCCTCCTCCCTCTATACAGAAGTTTTGTTTCCATTTTCCCTTCTTTTCTCATTTTTTCTTTTCCTGTCCTTCCTTTTGCCCTCACCCCTCCCTAGTTTTTCTTTGCATTTGAATGTTTTCTTGCTATTTCACAGTATCTATTATACATTTTACTCCTTATTTATACTTTCAGTTTCTCACACCAGAGAAACTACATGGTATTTACACATGTGTGTTCAAGTTATTCACTTAAGAGTATAGTCTCGTCCTTTAAGTGGCTGCTTCCACAAAGCTGTCAGCCTCAGGTGGCTGGAGTTCGAACCTCACAACTCTCCCGCTGGCCAAACGTGCCCTGAAGGCATGTGAGGAACAAAAAAAAAAAAAAAAAGAGTATAGTCTCAAGGTGCATCCCTTTACCTACAACAATCTCAAGATCGTCTTCTATGGTTAAGTAGTACTCCACTGCATAAAAGAATCACATCTTCTTTACAGATTCATTGGCTGATGGAAATTTGGGATATTTCCAAGATGTAGCTCTTATAAACTGTGCCAATACAGACATGGATATATTGCTCTGGTGTGATACTTTTAATTCTTTTGTAAAGATACTAAGAGGAGAAATACCGGGACCCAATGGGAACTCTAGTTCCAGTTTTTTTTTTTTTTAATTCTTTTTTTAAAATTTTTTTTTAATTTTATTTATTTATTTATGTGTGTGTATGTGTGGCCAGCTCAGCCCACCAGGGGGCGGGGCTGGCTGGCATGTGGTGCTGGGGGATTGAACCGCTGTCCCTGTGCTTTGTTAAGCTTGTTCTAAGTAGGTGCTTTAGACCACTGAGCCATCTCACCAGCCCTAGTTCCAGTTTTTTGAGGAATCTCCACAATGATTTCCATATTAGTTGCACCAGTCTATACTCCCACCAATGGTAAAGAGTTCCTTTTTCTCCCACAGCCCCAACAGCATTTATTTTTGGTTGATTTATTAATGTTAGCCATTCTTTCCTGGAGTGAAATGAAATCTACCCAGTGATGTTGAATACCAGTTTATATATTTATTTGCTGTTTCTAATTTTTTTAAATATAAACACATGATTTTATTTTATTTTTATTTTTCTGTATTTAGGACAGGATCTACAGGGTCTCACTATGTAGACTGGTCTCTTAGTGATTCTCCTGTTTTCAGCCTCCCGAGTTCTGGGATCACAGACACAAGCCCCCATGACCAGTCAGAATTGCCTCTCAGCAAGCCCCAGGGGTGGGGCCAGCATGGCACACTAAGGATCAAACCCTGGCCACTGTGCTCTGCTTAAGCAGCTGCTTTAGTCTGCTGAGCGACCTGGCTAGCCTTGCAACTGGGATTTTGTTCATAAAGTGCCTACACCATTTTCTTTAAGAGTTTGACCTATTCTTTCAGCAGATTTTGTATTTCTGTTTTAATGTTTAGATTTTTGATCCATTTTGATTTTAGTGTAGTGCATGGTGAAAGATATGGGTCATTTTAATCCTCAGCATGTGGAGAGCCAGTTTTTCAAGAACCATTTATGAAAGAGGTTATCTTTCTTCCAGTGAACATGTTTGGCTTCTCTATCAAAGATAAGGTGGATATGGGCCAGGGAGATAGCTCAGTAGAATAAGCACCTGTCTGGCAAACACAAGGTCCTGAGCTAAATCCCCAGTACCACAAAAAAAAAAAAAAAAAAAAAAAAAAAAGATAAGGTGGCTGAGTATGTTGAGTATGTTTGGCGTTGTTTCTGCATCTTCTGATCTGTTCCATCGATCCCCAGGTCTGTTTTTTTGCCTATACTATGCCATTTTTACCACAGTAGTTTTGCAGTACATTTTCATGTCAAGGATTGTGATGCCCCTTGCTTTGGGGCATCTCTTGCCCAGAATTGCCTTTGCTATTTTAGGTCTCTCCTGGTTCCAAACAGATTCTGGATTATTTTCTTTATTTCTGGGAGATACACTGTTGAAATTTTGATCAGGATTGCACTAAGTCTGAGAAGGATTTTTTTTGGCTGGCTCAGGTTGCCTTAAGGGCAGGTCTGGTAAGGCATGAGGATTTGGGGATCGAACCACAGTATCCTGAGCCTGACTGTGTTTGCTTAAGCAGGCACTTAAACAACTGAGCTAACTGTCAGTCCCCCAAAAAATTGAGAAGGATTTTTTTGTAGTATTGCATTCAGTCTGTATGACCATTTTGGAGTATCCCATTTTCACTATATTGGTTCTTCCTACCCAAGAACAAGTGACATCTTTCCATTTCCTTATATCCTCTTCAAACTTTTCTCAGAGTACTATGGTTACAGGGTAAAGGTTGTTTACTTTCTTCATTAGCTTGATTCCTACATACATCATCTTTTTATATTTATTTATTTATTTATTTATTTAGTTTTGCGGAAGCGGGAATTGAACTCAGACCCTTGCGCTTGCTAGGGAAGTGCTTATTCCACTGAGCCATCTCCCCGGCGCTACATCATCTTTTTATATGCTGTCTTAGTTACTTTTCTCTCATTACTGAGACAAAATACTTGATCCCCAAAGCTAAGGGAGGAAAGGTTTGGTTAGCTCATAGTTTATAGATTCTTCAGTCCATAATCAGTTGGCTTGAAGGCAGGGTGGCATGGCAGAAGAAAAGCAGGTCATGGTGCCCACAAGATAGCAAAAGCAAAAGCAACCATGGAGCAGGGGCTAGCCTCTTTGTGTCCCTTGCACTGTGTGCAGGCTACCTGCCCTAAAGCTGTGCAACACTCACAACCTTAACTCTAGCCGGAACTGTGCCACACCAATCAGTGGGCTGATTTACTAATCACATATTCTTGATGCCAGCACCACACACTCTAGATTCTTCTACCTCTAAAAAGTCCACCCCCATGAGTGCATGAGGCTTTGAGGGAGAGTCTAAACATAAACCTTAACACTTTTCCACTGAGTTTATCAAAGACGGAAAAGCAAAAAAAGAAAAAAAGAAGTACTGATTACCATTAAAGATAATAAAAAGGATGAAAACATTTAGAAAATAAAATGGAAATTATCTTAGTCTTGGATAATGAAAGTCTGAGCTTCCTAAAAGGAGTAGGAGAATTTTGTCCCAACCCTTTATTCTATTTTTTGTTTGTTTGTTTGTTTGTTTGTTTGTTTGTTTGTTTTTGTTCTCAGCAGTATGGGAGATCCAAGAGGAGGAAGAGAACACTGAGAGGTAGGTTTCTTCTAACTTTACATGACCTGTCTAAGGATGATTCCTCTTGTTCCTCTTGTGAGGTCTCAAGTCCATGACCTCTGAGGATGTCAGGTTCTAGAAAGGAGACATGCATAGGAAGGCAGTCACAGCTGAAGGCAGTCACAGACTTCTCAAAGTCCTGGCTATGCTGCCAAGGCTATGAAGAAATGGTGGACCTGGGCAGAGGGTGCTGCCCTACAGGTGGCCACGTGAGCTGTCAGGCAGGTCACTTCATTGCTTTGGAGTCAGATCTTCCGGCTCCTGATATTGTGTAAAGTGCTTTATTCCTGGGTGCTCAGACTCATGTGACCTCTGCATATTCCACTGGATTATGTGTGTGAAGGTACTTTATAAATAAAGCCATACTCACATGAACTTTTTTGAATCATCTTTGACCCCCTGACCATGTCTCCCAAGTTTTGTAACTTTCAGAGTTTTATATGGTATTTTCCAGAAAGAGCTTCCTGTGTGATCTCTGTGATTTGTCTGTACATAACCTTCTGTATGACCCTTCCAGGTAGGATAATTTGCCAGAGAGAAGTAGAAGAGGGGAGGAAGTTGCTTTCTGTTCTCAAAAGGTGGGTGCTCTTTCCTTATTTATTTTTTTGTTGTTGTTGTATTTTAGTATAGGGTCTACGTGGTCTACAGGGTCTCACTACGTAGATCGGACTTGTGATCCCCCTGTGTTCAGCCTCCCAAGAGCTGGGATTACAGGCGCATGCCACTAAGCCCAGTCTCAATCGCTGTCTCAGGGCACCCTGGGGACAGGGCCAGCATGGACTGAACCCCATTTTTTTTGAGGTACTGGGGATCAAACTTAGGACCTTGAGCTTGCCAGGCAGGCCCTTACCCACTGAGCTATCTCCCCAGCCCTGGTGCTCTTTTCATTTCTTCCATGGTTCCTTCTTTCACCCGTTCTGAGTTCCGAGAGAGTAAGTGCAGCTTTTGCTAGTCAGGGGAGGGGTGGTTGTGTCCGAGGTGTCTGATACGTGAGGAAGGCCTAACACAGAAGCTGTGGCGTGTTCGGCGAAGTCACGGGCGTGAGGCAGCGGGAAGTGGGAAGCTTGCACCACGTGGGCCCGCCCCTGGAGGACAGGAGGTCTTGCCTTCCTTGTGCTGGTCCTGGATGGATCTTTGTACTTTCTGTCTCCTGCAGCCCCCTGGGCCAGCATTATGACACCACACACTTTCGACAACTGCTGTGTCCAGACCCGCTCTGTGAGGTGTGTAACACAGCAGCCGCTAAGGTCAGGCGGCTGCTGTCTCTGGCAGCCCTGGATGGTGCTGCCATCTCTTTGGCTTCCACAGGTTCGGCAACAGATACGTCCAGGCGCCCTCACACCTGCTGAAGGCGCTGGGGTCAGGGACCTGACTCTGCTCTGTGAACAGAGAAGCTTCTTCAGCATTTAGCAAAGGAAACAATGCCTGCAAAAGAAAATCCAGTCCAAGACCATCAGCACAGCCAGTAACACTGATAGGACTAGCTCTCGTAATGGGAATAGTGCCACCAGAGCAAAATAAAAAAAAAATCAAACCTTCCTTCTGAGAACAGGAGTTGAGCTCTCTGTGTTCTGCACAGGAAGCATCATTTTTTGGGAATCCCAAATATGTTTTTAGGGAAAAGAAAGGTTTATTTTAGTTCTCGATGCTGTTTATCTTATTTTTAAAAAATTATCTATTTGGTACAGGGTCTCACTATAGAGCTCAGCTCAAACTCCTAGTGATCCTCCTGTCTCAGCCTCCCAGCGCTGAGATTACAGGTGTGCCAAGTTTTAGTGGCTGGCACAGCACAACAGGGATGCAGTACCAGGGACCGAACCAGGGTTCTTGCACTTGCCAAGGAGGCATTTAGACCGCTAAGCTATCTCCCCAACCTGTGTTGACCTTATTTTGCTGCTAAAACATGGCCAGTTCTTGTAGGTATCTTGACAATAAGAGTCCTTGATTTCACTGTTCTCAAATGTTCTTCATTTAAAGCATTTTATGTTTTCATAAAACATTTTTTAACTCTAAAAGCTCTCAAGGGCTGGCCAAATAGCTCAGTGGACTAAAGTGCATGCAAGCAGGTGCAGGGTCAAGGGGTTTGATTCTCTGGCCTGCCGTACTGGCCCCATCCACAGGGCACTCTGAGACGACAACTGAGACTGGGCATGGTGGCGCATGCCTGTAATCCCAGCTCTTGGGATGCTGTAAACAGGCGGATCACTACAAGTCTGATCTAGTAGTGAGACCTTGAACACCCTATAGACCCTTCCCTAAATTACAAAAAA